CCCATGACACCACATCGTACCCCATAACCACATCAGCCCATGTTCCTGCCCCACAGCCCCGTGATTCCATAGTCAGCTTCGTGGCTCTGTGCCCCACAGCCACACAGCCTTCCCTTCCTCCATCCTCATCCTCATCGCTTTGGGAATGCTACGAGCCCATATCCTGCCCATAATCCCATATCCTGACCCATAACAGGAAATCTTACCCCATGTCCTGCCCCATGGATCCATATCCTGCTCCATAGCTTTATGTCCCACAGCCCTGGAACCTTTCTCCTGCTGCACTCATACTCATGTCTTTGGGACTACGAGGACCATATATATCTTCCCGCAGCCCCATATCACATTTCACAGCCCCATAACTCTCCCTCTTGCCCCATATCATGCCCCGTAGCTCCACATCCAACCCCATATCCTCATTTCCAGTCCCATATCCCCAGAAAATGACAAATCACCCCACGGTCTGATCTGTGCCCCCTATCCTTGCCTCATAGCCCACTGACTCCATACTCCAACACATAGCTCTGGTATCATCCCTTGTATCCCTCCTATAGTCCCAGTTTGATATCTTGTCCCATTCCAGTATGACCCCATAGCCTGCCCTACCGCTCTGTGCCCTTTGTCCCACAGCCTTCCTCTCGCCATGCTCGTCTTAGCCATCCACGTGCTGACCTTTGCTGTGGGTTTTCCTGCCAACATCTTCACCCTCCTCACCCTCCTCATCAAAATCCGATGCCACCGTCCTCATCCCCACCTCACCGCTGCCGACCTCCTCCTCCTCCACCTCACCACCGCCGACCTCCTTGTCCTCCTCTTCCTCCCATTCAAGATGGCTGAAGAGGCAGCCATGATGGCGTGGCCCTTCCCCAGAGTGCTCTGCCCCATTGCAAACTTCTGCTTCTACTCCAGCATCTACCTCAGCACTCTCTTTATAGCTGCCCTCAGTGTGGAGCGCTACGTTGGGGTCGTGTTCCCACACCGCTACAACCGGCGCCGGAGGTTATGGCGGATGATGGCTGCCAGCGCCGTCCTTTGGGTGATGGCATTGTCCCTTTGTTCCTTCGTCTTTGTAGCGGAGCATCACAGAGAGTTTGGGGTCAATGGCTCTGAGGCTGATGGGGAAGGTGGTTTAGGCTTCAATGGGAAAAAGACCTGGGGATCGGTGATGGACAACCCCAATCACATTGACCACGTTGGGCTGAAGACGGACAACTCCCATTGTTCCGGGACCAGTCGGTCTGACCTTGGGGGATTTGAGTTAACCAAACCTAACGGCATTGACACCGATGTCCCCAGTACTTCTACTGCTGACATCACTCCCAGTGGCTCCAAGGTCCCCAGTCTCAACATCTACAGGATCTCCAACCTCAAGGCCGACCACAACATCTCCACCCTCCAATTCTCTGCCTGCACAACCCCAAAAACTCCCCACATCCCCACCACCACCTCATGGAACTCTCAGAACGCCTCTGAGACTCAACCCCACATGGTCTACCACTGCTACGATGACTTCTCCCCAACCCAGCTGCGCTTTGTTGTCCCGCTGCGCCTTGTACTCTTCCTCGTCCTCTTCC